GCTTTAAAACATTGATGTTTAAGCAGAACTGAGATGGTATCCACCTGGATAAGTGTAATATTAAAGCTGGAGAAGGGGCATTCACCTAGTACCTGTAGGAGACACAGCTCAGCTTGGCCCAGCAGGGTATCTGAAGCCTTCAGTGAGGCTTTGTACCTAGAGGTCTCTGGCACTTTATTTGTTGATGGGAGCCATGGAAGGAGGACTCAGGAGGAGGAGCAGCTGTGCCCAGCAGACATGGCAGTATCCAAGGGAAGAGAACAGCAGGACAGGAAGAGACAGTGACACTCACCAGGAATCTCACAGGAATTGTTTGTGAGCGCTAATGAGCCCTCCTCTTTTGGGTACCAGCCTCTAGATTCTTGAAAGAACTCTATAGGGTTCCCGCATGTTGTAGGTGGGGGAAAAACACACAGCTCCCTATCTTTACCTCATGTGGTTCCACAGCAGCCCTGTAAGTCAAGTATTATTCCTATTTAAAGGGGTAAAGAATGACCCTTAAGCAAATATAAGTACTTGCTTTATATTTCTGCCTAAGAGATTCAGAAGAAACACTGGCTTTACTTTTTTTAAGTTCTGTCAAGTATTTATTAAGTGCCACATCATCTTTATAAGCTGATAGCTTTTAAACTGCTTTACATTTTCCCCATTATATCGGGGTTTTTTGGAACTCAAGTAAAATGTGTTCGTCTTGAAAAAAATGAGAAGTCCCAACAAAGCAAAAATGAAAAACAAAAAAAATCACTATTCTTACTGCACAGATAACCACTTTTAAGCCTTTGAAGTATATACTGTTTTTCTTTGCTTATTAATATATAAATATACATTTTTTACAAAAACGGGATACTACAAATACTTTTCAAAAATTACCTTTTTCACATCACAATATATAACGTCCATCTTTTCATGCAAATGGGTGAGACTCCTAATTGACAGAGGGAGACTTGCGGATGGGGGGAGGGGAGATGGAAGCCCAATTTACGCCAGTTACAAGTGAAACACCTTAAATAAAGCCAGGCAAAAAGTCAAAAGAAGATAGCGAGAGGGATACGAGAAAATGCAAACCAAGTTCAGGTGGCAATACTTAAATCTGGCAAAGCAGCACTGAAGGCCGGACACATTAAATAGGATAAGGACGGTTCCGTCTTGCCTTCCAATGCATGATCATCAATTTGTTTCGTACTCTTTTCATCTCTTCCATCTCCTCTGCTACCTTTATCATCTCCTCGTTGCTCAAATTTCTGCCGTGGATGTCCCCTCTAAATTGCGGGCGAGAGCGAGCCAGCCTTTCCTTAAAGCTTCCTTCTTCTAGCTTATGTTTTCCCACTCCGCAAGGAGGCTGCTCCATGGGAGGGCGCGCCTCGAACAGGTCCTTCCTAGAAAGGTGCTCCTGAGGGGGGCGCTCTTCGGACACCAGCATCTCGGGAAGGAGCTCGGGAAGGAGTTCCTCGGGAAAGAACTCCTCCTCCGAGGACTGCTCCTCGGAAGACGGCTCCTCCGGACTCGGCTCCTCGGATGACGGCTCCTCCAGACTCGGCTCTTCGGACGACTGCTCCGGCGGAGGCTGCTCCTCGTCGGGCTTGGGCGCGCTTTGTGGCTGTTCTTCATTTGCTTGGCAGGATTTTTCCATGCTGGGAATGGTCTTCATAAGCAGTTATTCAGAGGAGACAAGAAAGGCAAAGTCAAGTCAGGATAATTAGTGGCCAGACCGAAACCACGGCCTTGGGTTCCCATACTTGCCTCTTCCTGCTTTGGGGCCCAGGTACTCCCACCTACGCTGGCGGAGAGGCTGTGGTCCCGGGGACGCCGCCGCGTCTCCTGCCCCCGCCGCGGTCGCCCCCTCCTTCCCGAAAGCCCACCATTTTCCCAGCAGGCCT